TGGATGAGACCGTGCTGACGAGTCGTTTTTCGCCTATCAATTAAAGCGGCATATAAGAACTCTAGCAAAAAAGACATTTAGTGATAACGGAAAGATGATATAATAGTTTATATCCCTTGATCAAGTCTGTAGAGGAATAAGACACAAGTTTCACCTCTGTAAATGATACTGATGATTTTAACCTCTGTACCTTAATTATATCTCCGAGCACGCACGCATTTACGTTTAGAAAACCTAACCCTTAGAACGAGAAGGAACCTGACCGAAACAGTGAAACAAGTGGAAATAAAGTGAGAGTCACTGAAGAACTTTATTACCCAACGCCACCATACTAAATATGCTATTTTCGTTCAGAACAAACTTATATACGGAAGGTTGAAGCTTCTTACAAGATTACTGTGTGTAAATGTAAGTGCAAGTCGTTGATAAATATTGCTGAAACTGTAAAAAAATTGAATAAAATGTTTCGAGAACATCTAGCAAATTTTAAGGAATAGGAAAACAGAGCCTTCTGGCATCCTTTCCCAAGGTTTATACCGAGGAACTCGTTAAGTCTGACGAATGTCATTTTTTGATAATAAGCACAGAACAAATATTGAGATTATTACATGTTGGCGAACAAAACCCGACTGTGTTACGAATGTAACGATGAACTAACTTTGGTGACCGGCAAAATATCATGGGCTAACTTGTCCAAAAGAATTAATTAAAAGTCATTATCACTTCCACCGCCCTATTTGTATAATATAGCCGTGCTGATGATGTTGGTGCATTTTTTAACTTTGATACTGGATGAGTGCTTAGTTATTTGACCGTTGAAAAAAAACTGTCATGTTGAACTATGGATCGAGAACAATCGTTATTCAAGCAGACAGCGAACTGATGTCTCTTTGAGCTCAGAGCTATTTTAATTTTTATTACTTAACAATCAGTCCGGAAAAAACACTGAGGACTATACACCAATAAAAAGAGTCAAAATAGGTGACACTTACTTCGAAGTTCGAGTTATGCCTTCGAGAGCAATAGCCGGTTGTTTGGTTGCAATTAGCGGTGCAACTGAAGAACGTGCAGTCCGTATCAGACTTGCAACGGAGGCTGTGGAATAGTGCGTTTAGGCGTGAATCGGTGAACACCATGTCACCATCGAGCACCATAAGACGATTTGGATAGGCGACACTTTCACCAAAATTTTCACGCTTCACGTCACACATGTGCACTGCCTCATTCAAACTGTCCTGCAATATTTTCAAGGTACCCATCGATTTGTGTACCGCGCGATACTTTGGCCCATGAAAATAAAGGTTCGAGTCAAGAGGAGGGATGAACTCGACTGCATACATATGACCGCAGGTACCGATCACCTTTGGAAACACCTGCAGATAGTTGAGTAGTTTAAAGTTCAAGAACTCCTCCTGATTCACCAAAGTCCATATGCTGCGACGGTCGGCAATAGTGATTTTGTGGCTTCGTTTATATGAAGGCCAAATTTCGTTCAATAAGTGATGAGCCTTGTTACGGGGCCATCCGAATGCCATATGAAAGTTCACCATATTCACAACCGCATCCAAATATTTTTCTTCCGATATGGTAGATGGCAACATATCGTACGACAGAAAATAACGATCACTCGATTTCAGCAACAGTCGCTGTCCGGCCAAGTTCACTCCAATAACTGCTTTGTTTGTTGAGTGAAATTCCAGAATTTTGTGATCAGGTTCAAAGCACAACAGCATGCACAAATCGCCCGATGCGAAGCCGTTGTTATAATGGCTGCACTATGATAAAAACGATGTTAATACATAATTATGTGATAAATATAAAATGCTCTATCACAAAATTTAGTAACTACAACAATATCCTCAAACTAAAACTAGCGGATAAGTAAAACACATAATAATTTTCAACGACGTTTTATAAAATGGTTATAAAACACCATATTCAGATTAGTCAGTATATTTCACATATAATAGTGAAAGGCAGTTGGACTTGCCCGTTACTAACGAATAGCGATGGAAAAACTTTAGAAAACGACGAGACTTTACATGAGCTAAACTAACCGACGAAATAGGTTAACAGTTGCCTATGCCACACGATCTCCTTAACAAATATATAAATAAAAAATAGAAACATTTTATCACGTAGTCCTCACGAGGTGAGGAATCGTGT